ATAATCTTTGCCAGCTAGTGTAAACAAATCAATTCCCACTTTGAACCATGCCTCTTGAATATCCTTGTCTATCCACATTGGTTCCTTTTAATTCTTACCCTGGTATTTCTGGCATGTACCACATTTATGTACATCATTTTACAGCTGACTATTCATGAGTGGTCAATATAATACCTCCTTGGACCTCATTTTGCATTTTTCTATGCCCAGATGACCCTCGTATTTGTTTAGTCATATCAGCTTGTACTTCTTTAGGTACTACCGTCCCGTGACCCTTGAACAAAACACCATCAATCACTGAGAGCTTTGCTTTAAACTGAAAATATGGACTTGGTATATAATGACTAGGTCACCCAGTGGTGATGGCTTTGATAATCTTCTGCAGTGTGTGATCCTGTGCTGTCACCTCTACAAAGTTTTGCCCCATCTCCTCTGATACTGGGTATTATTTTTTTATCCCATTGGCATGCACAATGTCAGAATCTACTTTAGCATCATCAACAGTGTTGTTAACTGCCCTAGACAAAGTCTCTGCAATCACTAGTTCTTTGCCTGTTTTATAGTCTAATCTCAAATCAAATAATTGTAACTGAAAAAAGTCTCTAGTCTGGGAGGTATATTAGCTAGCCCCTTTCTTGCAATGGTGACCAGAGGTTTGTGGTCAATTTCTGCCACAGCCAGTCTTCCATATATAAAAACAGGAAATTTTTTGCATGCATGCACCAGAGCTTATGCCTCCTTTTCTGTCTGTGCATACAGGCATTCTGTTTCTGTGAGGGCTCTGTATGCATCTGCCATTGGGCTCCAGTGATCACCATACTTTCACAATACGGTTGCCCCAAGGCCCTCTTTAGAGGCATCTGTGGACAATTTGGTTTCTCTTTTACTGTCAGAACACCTAAGGACTGGAGCTGTTTCCATACTTTTTTTAATATTGCAAATTATTTTGTCTATGTTGGCATGCCATGTCCACTGGGTATTCTTTTTTAGTAGCACTCTCAGTTTGCTGGTGTTTTCTGGAAGTTTTTATAAATATACCTGCCTACCTGGGTGACCATTCCCAGGAACCTTTGCATCCCTTCCTTATCTTGTGGGGGTGGCATGTTTGATATTGCCCTTATTCTCTCAGTGTTTGCACCTTGTTTTCTGATATTCATTCCCCCAAGTAGGTGATTTCTGTAACTCTACATTTGCATTTCTGCTTATTAAGTTTCAGCCCTACCACCCTCACCCTGTTGAGGGCTTTTTGTAGGCTGAAATTATGTTCCTCTCTGTTTTTGCCCCATGCCATCATCGTTGTACACTTTGACACCTGTTACTCCAGCAAAGATTTGCTGCACCTTCTGTGAAAGATTTCAGGTGCTGATTTGAGGTCAAATGGGAGCCTGAAAAACCAATATCTCTCAAAGGGTGTATTAAAAGTAGATAGCCTTGAGCTTTTTTCATTTAAAGGAACCTGCCAGAATCCTGAGGATGCAGCCAGAATTGAAAAAAATTTAGCACCAACCATTTCACTAAATATATCCTCTCTTGTAGGCAATGGAAAATACTCTTTTATGTATTGATTGAGCTCTTTCGGTCTCAGCATCATCTTATTTTGTCCCATCTTTCTTTTCTGTAATTACTAACGAATGTACCCATTCAGTAGGTTATTTTACTTTGTCAGTTATTTTCAATGCCACAAATTGGTTCAGCTCTTCTTTTGATGGCTAGAGGAACCTTCCTTGGGGCATGAATGACTGGATACTTGGGTTCCGCCAACTCAATTTTACATTCAGTTTCCAATTTACCAATGCCCTCACAAATATTGGAATATTAGTCTTCTATAAGTGTGTCCTTGGCCTTTGTTACCATATATACTCTCTTAATTAAACCCACATTCTGGCAGGTTTTTAGCTCCAGTATTGGCATGCTATTTCCTATGGCTATTACAAAAGTTATTAGTCCAATTTCATCCATAATTTTTATCTCTAGTTCATATACTCCTTTGGTGGGAATCACCTCCTCATTGTAAGTTCTTAGTTTTATACTTTTACCCTGGATCCAGTTTAGTTTTTGTTTTAACTTATTAACAGTTCGTTCTGGAAGCACATTTACCTATGTATCTGTGTCCATTTTGTAGTTAATAACGCTTCCATTAGTTTCCAGTACAACAGTCTAGTCATCTCCTGTCTCCGCAGCCACAGTCCCCCCATAGAGCTCTTCCTAAGTGCATTCATCAGTGTTGTCTTGATGTACTGCATAAGTTTGCATGTTTTGACTTCTTCTCTGTGTTTGCTGCTCCTGGTTGCAGACTCTGGCAAAATGGTTATATTGCTTGTATGTCTTACTCTGTATTCCTAGTGCAGGGCATTGCCTGTTCGGGTGCTTGATTCCACATTTCTTACAATTTGGTGCCCTTTTACCTGTAACCTCATTCCTTGGGCTATCTGTGAATCTTTCTGCTCTTCTTGCTTGCTTTCTGCTTTTTCCTTTATTGTCCTTTTGCTTGCTTTTTATTTGGTCTACTGTAGCTATTTCTGATTTTTCCTTTCATTATTTGTAGACTCTGGAGAGTAACTTCTGCTGCCTGGCACACTCTCACTTCTTTGTCTAAGGTCAAATTCACATCCTCCAAGTTTTTTTCTGTAATTTCAAATCTCCAATGCCTATTACAGTCTGATCCCATATGATAGACTCAGTTAACTGCCCAAAGTTGCAGTCCTGGCTCATCAACTTCAGGTCTGTTAGGAATTCCTCAAACAATTCACCTTCTTTTTGCACTATTTTGTGAAACTTGTTTTGTGAAACTGGTATCTCAGCTGTCTCACTTATTTTTGGTATGCAATATTCTGCAAAATTCTGTAAGTCACATAGCTTTTCCTCACATCCTGGTTTAGCTGCATGTTATTAAAGACATCATCAGCCCAGGTCCGGCTAGATTCAGGAATATGGGTATTTTCTGCTCATCTTCCTTTGCTGCATACCCTGTTGCTTGAGTGTATATGTCAAAACTTGGTTTATATTTTTCCATGATTCAGCATCTTTACCCGAGAGGTTCAGCTTCTTGAAGGTTTTCAGATGCTCCATCTCTTCAGTAGTTTCTTATCTTCCCCTTCATTTTCTTTGCACCTCCACCTCTGGTACCATGTAATGATGAGTGCTGTTCAGAAGTACATCTTTGTATAAAAGCAAACATTGTTTATTATCTGCATGAAAGACTCTAGCAATGTTTTGTAGATAATCCTTTACAACAACCAACAGCTCTGTCTCCTCTCAGCTGGTCCCAACCACATCTCATTAACAAAGCAAACAGCTCTAATGTTTCAGTTACCCATAGCTGTTCTCTTCCCATACCAGCGTCATGTGTATCAGTGTTCCCATGCTAAAAAATGGTGGCAGGGTGCTTTAAACTAAAGCTTGTTTGAGCTTTAGTTCAAAGCACGCCGCAGGCATTTTTCAGCATGGAGATGCTGATACACATGACACTCCAGGCACTTTAATTAGTGCAGCTCCGAGAGCTGCACTTGTTAAAGTGCCCACCCCCACCTCCTGGAACTCATCTATAAAGGCCCTAGGCACTTAAGTTCCTATTCAATATATGGGGAGCGTGCCTATGACTTGCCCCATGTCAGAAGAAAGTCCGAGAACCAAGGGGCCTTTGTATTCCCTGCCCATGCCCTGAATATTAACATTCTCCAAACCTGGAAGTTCACCAGTAACACCACTCCAGGTTCATCCCCACCAACTACTTCTAGGCACAGCAGAAACCAGGGGTTCAGAAAATGGGTAGCCAAACTGACTGGTTACCTTCCAAGTTTGCAGTATGGGTACAGCATGCTTGTACCCCTTAGTGCTGTGTTTAGTGGTGCTGAGCCCCATTACAATGCACACAAACTCTTAACTGCCTCAGGATGGCATTTACGTTAGGTGGTTGGTGGTGGTACCAGTATCTTGCATATAACAACCTGCTAGTTAGAGCACTTAAAATCATAGCATCATAGAATCATAGAAAATGAGGGTTGGGAGGGACCTCAGGAGGTCATCTAGTCCAACCTCCTGCTCAAAGCAGGACCAGTCCCAACTAGATCATCCCAGCCAAAGCTTTGTCCAGCTGGGTTTTGAAAATCTCTCTGGGTAACCTGTTCCACTTACCTGGGAAGTAGACACCTATGCATAATGGCTTCCTCAGTTTGAGAGGTTTCACTTCTCAGGAGACTGAGGATGTTGTGGGTGAACACTGCTGTGTCAGTGTGCAGAAAAGGATGCATGATTTATTGAGCTAGACTAAGTAGGAAGCCTAGAAAGGAAGAAAGATACATAAATGTGTAGCTTAGTAGCTAGGGTACTTGCCTGACAGAGGAGAGGCTTGGGTTCCTGTTGCTACTCCCTGGGCTGTTTATGAAGTTGTCATTAAACAATCATTGGACAAAATACATAAACAGTCCTCAGAGTAGGGACTAAAATCCACACTCTCCTCACTCAGGTGACTGCCCTAAGTACTGGACTGCAGTGCTTTTGTTCTATTTTCTCTTCTGGCTGGCTGTCTTTAGCCCTTTGACTTTTGCATTCTTGGCTTCTGTGACCCAGGTTCAATAGGAAGATTGAAGGGTGACCCCACACCAGCCTAGCCCATAGCTTGATAATTAGGACTGTCATGAGAGATGCATGTTTCACTGCCCCCAGGTTAAGCAGTCCACTCAGTGTCTTCAATTTCCTGGACAGTTGCTGTAAACACTCAGCTATTATATAAAAGCTGGGAAGTAGTTCCAATACTACCTCCTCTGCCCATGTTTTTGAATGACAGTGGACATGGTTGCTGTATTTTGTGTTGAATTCAGTGTTGTCTGCATGAGTTAGATGTCTTCTGGAAATGCTTACAGGACTAGGCTCTTCAGGGACATAAGTGAAAGCGGCCCTATTCTGAAAATAGCTGAACAGCTCAGACTCACCATGATAATATTCCTGGTTATATGAAGAAGCAGGATTGTATGCACTCAGGCAACCTAACAGCTTTTCAGGTACAGGCAACTCCTGCTTAACGCTGTTTCATTTAGTACTATTTTGCTATAACTCTCATTTGAACTTGATACCTGATTTCACTTAGCGCTTAGCAAGTTTTGTTATAATGCCTGCGGTTACCATCTTGGGTCATTAAAAACAATTGTGGTCACCATCTCAGGTCATCAAATACTTTCGGTTTCACTTAGTTTTCCTTAGTACTTGGTTTTTCAGGAACCAATTAAGAGCACTAAGCGGGGGTTGCCTGTATTTAGGTGTTGGTGGCGGTCTTGCCTAAATTTACACAAATTTCTGTTTTCTGTCTTTATCAGCTCTGATGCTCAGATACTATGTTGATAAGTCTAATATAAATGCCAACCAGAAAACATTTTATAAAGATTGCAAAATATAATTTCACTTCTAGGAATTGAAGTTTTGTAGCTTTTTTATACTATACAATTCAAGGTTCTTACATTTTTAACTATTTAATCATCTACTATATGCTTTAATCCCTGGAAGCTTGTTATTTGTAAGGCAATTGCATACCTGCAGGGATTTACAAACCGTGTTCAAGATTCCACCACTCTAGAAATTGGATGAACTTGATTAGCATTTTATAGCTAACTTAAAATATAGTTTGCAAAGTATTGTGGACATCACCTTAACCCTAAGGCAGTGGTTCTCCACTGGGCTGCCGTAAGACCATGATAACAACAGGGTAAAACCACCCGACCTATAGAGCTTCAGCACACATGCACTCCTGCTGTGTTAGGGCTCTCTGATAACCGTAAAGTGGACAGAGTTGCCCTTGGCTGTAGCCCTTCCTGGTTTGATGCCCCCTATGCTCCTCCTGGAAACAGAGGCATGTGGGACAGTTCCATCCAGGTGCCTCTGTGAGAGGAGGAGCATGGGGGGAGAGGGACGGATGGACTAGGAAGGGCTACAGTACAGGCTGGCTCTTCTGTCCTGCTTATTAGAGAGCCCTAATGCAGGTTACACATGCACAGATGCCACAGCCCTTCCCAGGCTGGCTGTGTAGCAGGTGCATGGGGTAGTTTTACCTGGTGGCAGCAACACCCGGTTGAAAACCACTGAGTAAGCTGATGCAGCACCAACAGCGGTTCTCAAATGAGGATACCACTACATTCAAATAAGTGGTGGTGGATGCCCTGACTCTCAGAAAGTTGAGAACCACTTGTCTAGATGTTGGAGGTGCAGCACAGAGGCACTGCTAATGGTAAGAATGAATACTGTTGCCTTCAAAACGATTATACCAACAGCAAAGTCAATACCACTCTGACTAATGGATATGGACACTGCATACAACATGGCTAATATCATCCAATATTATAGGGGCTACATTATTGTGTCTAAGGTGATAATAAAGGTCAAATTAATGATGAGTTTCATATTATCATAATTTAATTTGTATGTAGTATACAAGGTATTAATCTGCAAAATCTCCTCTCCTGAGTACAAAAAACTAGTATTGCTCTTTTCCATTCAGAACACTGGTTACCTTCATCTCTTGCAGTTACAGTCAATTAACACATTTGCAATATTTAATACAGTAAAGTAAATGTTTCTTTTGCTTTGGTTTTGTTTTTTAATATCCCAGTGTCTTTCATGGAAGACTGCAGGAAGTGGGGAAAGGAGTTCAAAGTTTTGTTTCCATGTAGCCACATGCAAAGGTCTGTTCTTAACACTGTACACCTGATTCTCATTAACACCCACACCACTTTACATCGTTATGGGAATACAGAGGTGCCATAAAGCACAAATATGTTTGAACCCATTTTAAGACCTATGTACACAGCAAAAGCAAAGTTAGTCTCCTTAACATAAATGAAAATCGGGTTGGTAGTACGTAGTCAGTTTAACTCACAAGTCTGTCACCAGGACCTAACTAGATGTATGGTATTTTTATTTGCCACTTCTTTCTATCTATCTATCTATCTATCTATCTATCTATCTATCTATCTATCTATCCACACCCTGGCTGGCATTGCAGCAGAAAAGGTAGCTGTACATATTGGTATTGTTTCTTTCTGAAAATGTAGTCCCAGATTTAGTAATGTTTTAATAAGTATCCTTTTTTAAGTGAATCTCTCTTTCTTCTTTTCTCATTTTCTCCAAAAATAAAGATTGCTTCTGATTTAGCTGTACTCTATATCTTGTTTAACTGGAATGGTTGCTGACTGGCAAAAGCAAAGAAAAAGTGCCTCACCTCTGAAGAAGCAGAGTGAAAGTAACTCCTTTGGTCAAACAGACACATTCGGGTATTTGAAGTGGGACAACAGAAATTTTGCTGTGAGTTCATAGAAGGGTACAAAAGGACAGAACTGTGACAATTTGACAAATTGTTATTAAGTTGAAATACCACTATATACATATCTATATATTAGTGGTGTTTCATTTTAATCATGACAATATGTGAGTTTTGGGTTACTTTTTTGAATCCGAAAATTGGGAATTTTTTTTTAAATCGGAGAAAACCAGGATCCCTGGTTATGTGTATCAGCTGTGATGTGCTGTGGGAGAGTTAAATTGTAAAGCAAGAGTGCCTGTGAAGTTGGAGTTCAGAGAAAATATTGACTTGAGGTACAGGAGAGTCTGGGGAGGGTGGGGTGTCAACTCTGGTCCTGAGAGCCTTGAGAGGTTGAGCCATGCCATCACAATTCTGTGAAAGGATAATGGTCTGGGAGCCTGTGCCATGACACTTACCTGAGAGGGAGAAAAATTGTGACTTATCCCAGACCAAAGGGAAGTCACTGGGCTCATACACTGTCATGGTAAGACCCAGAATAGTAACATGGTAAACACAGAGCTGTCCCTTTGCCAAGGGCAGCATGTTCAACAGCATCAAATAATCAGTGGAAGAAAAGTTGGACAGTTGCTTATCCACTGGAATTAGAACACCGCAGCTCACTCTGAAGTCAATGAAAGCTGAAATGATTTGGCATGTAGAGGCTTCCACCGAAAAGACTGGAAAAAACTGTTTGGGTTTCCAACACATTGCAACTACTTTTTTTCACCACAGCCTGCTCCCTGCCTTGGTGAGATTCGTTCGAGTGATTTCAGTAGTCGTAGCTGGAGTTAATCTGGATATCTTTCCCAGGCAGAATTATATACTGTTTCTCACAATCTTACTGTCTCACTGGAAGAAGAAAACACTGCAATGAGAAAATTAAACCAGAAAGTAAAGGGAAGTAAGTCTTGAAAAGGAGAGGTACAAAAGAGAAGGGAATGTTTCATTTGAACACCTGATCATGCAGTACGCACTGCTCACTTCCTTTTTTATCAATTCAGTCTAGTTTTGTATGAGTTCACTGCTGATTTGCTCCCCTCGGTACACTGAGTGGTTCATTATATTTAAATAGGTCTCTACAGTGGACATCCTTCCTTTTATCTGAGAAGTCAATGACTGACTGAATTCAGAATCAGTAATAAAATCTCATCTCAGCAAACTGGCCTGTGGATGGTATTTAAGACTGTAATGTGCTTGGCATATCGCCAGAGGCTGTATGTTATAGTCTGTTACCTGTACTTTGCCTCACTAATGGACTAACATACAAGCTTTTAAACTAAATTCCCTTTGGACTTTCCCAGACTGCAATGAAAGCCATTCCTGTTCTAGTAGCATTAGTTAAAATATCAGTTTTAGTGAAAAGTGGACTGATACATTGGGAAAATGTGAGGTGTAGGGGGAAATACTATCTATCCCATTGGACTATCTTTCAACAGCAATGTTAAATTAAAGATCTCTTAAGAAATGCACGAACTAACCTGTTCCCACAGCTGTGCTGTCATCAGCTGCTCCTTGGATACTATTTCATTTACTTCATGAATATAGATGGCTAAATCCTTGGGGCAATTGATTCTATTAATGTAAAGCATATGTACAACCACCACTGATAGCAGAATTCTGCTCAGTTTCATAATAACTATTGGATTTTATTCACTGAAGGGCAACAGATCTCAAGAGAGGCTGCAGACAACAGGATTCTCAAAAATGCTGTTGCTTTGCTTTGCTTTGCTTTGCTAAATGTAGGTTTTTGAAAGAAATGGTAACTAATTTGTGTACTTGTGCAACTGATTTTTTGAGTACCTTCATGT